TGACCGGATTTGGACTACCTAGGTATTCATAGTAATGTTAATTTCAATCGTCTGGGGAAGGATTTATGTCGTCCGTTTCATGATCACTTTTATCATTATGCACCTTCCATATTTAGTAGTTATTCGAAATTTGTTTGATGTCCTGTTTGTCTTTGTTGTTTGATCCAATATCACCCAAGGCTCACGTAAATATAATAAAATCCCTTCTGCTTGGAAATCTGACCACGTCATCACGAGAATTTGGATTTGGTGTCACGTTATTCGGGCGGAGTGGCTAAATTTAGATAGCGTAAACTTTCGGAGGATTGATGGCCCCACAGGTTCTATGCATGTCATGAGATTTAGTGAAATTAGTTCCATCCCCGGACACACTAAATCTATCGTGCGAATGTCAAGAAGACGCAACATACTTCGCCCGGTGTTGTAAGATCTTACAATGGATTTCAAACTGACAACTTTAGTTCCAAAGTGTGATGAATTCTACCTAAACGATCGAAATAGGAAACAAACAGTTGATTTTGTTAATTATCTCGCTATATCTTGTGCTTAGGTTCTCGATCTTGGGGATTTAGCCTCTAAGAATTTCAAGATTGTCTTTTCATGAACTTCCCCTACGTACGTTCCCACAGCATTTTTTCACACTAATATCACTACCTGTTATGCCAATTAAAAATATGTACGATTCTTGCAAAAGAAGATATAAGTTACGCAAATACGCAGGAATAGACGAGATAGAGATTCAGACTTACTCATTGATGTCTAGAACTAGAGGTTGTATCGCTTTTTAGTGACTACGGATTGAGTAGTCTGTGTTATCGATATTAAAGGGGTGGATAGCCAGAAACGATTTAGAGACCTACCTAAAGAGCTAGGTTCTTAGATATGGACATCAAACACGCTCAACAAATTCAGATCGTCAGTTAGTTGAGACCTAGACTTTAACTATCAAAGTATCGCTCTAGTTCAATGAAGATCCAACATTCCTTATGCCAACATAGAAAAATTTAATGCTTCGAGGTTCAAGACAATCGATGTAGTGAAAACTTATGATAAATTGGCATCATGGAACTTGACGTGAAAAAAACTTTCTTAGAAATTAGGAAATATTCGTAGGGTTTGGTACTGCCATTGTATCCCAAACAGTGAATATTGTCTTGGAAACTTACGTTACGCTCATTACGAAAGAATACTGACCATTAAACACAAATCTTAGATGATTTTGTTTCATACTCTTACACTCCTTGCGGTGCTACGTTGATTAAAGGAAGATTGTCAATCCTTCGCTGAAGAAAGCCTCAATCCCAAAGCAACGTCAAGAAACGGGTTTGAACACTAGAATAGAAGAAACGACACCAGGGAAAACATATATAAACCCATTAGATATCTTCGGAGACAAACTATTCTCATCATCGCATCACCATCAACTTTTAAGTACATACTTCCCAGAACAAACTCACAGCACACGGCTCCTCGTTGTCTTCACACTTTCATTAAACACAATTTTTTTAAACAAAACATCTTCCTCAGTCAAAATGAAGTTCACAATCACTGCTATCGCCGCCATCATGGCATTCGCTCCCCTCATCTCCGCTGCTCCAGCTCCAGTATCGGCAAACGAGCCCGAGCTCGTCCGACGCTCAAACACAGGTGACTTGACCTACTATGATGTAGGTCTTGGTGCCTGTGGAGTCACCAACTCTGACTCCGAATTGGTCGTTGCTATGTCAGCAGGACTTATGGGAACCCAGTCCAACGGTAACCCCAACTGCGGAAAAAAGATCAAGATCAACTATGGCGGAAAGTCAGTCACTGTTAAGGTTGTTGATAAGTGCATGGGCTGCGCTACATACGACTTAGATTTGAGCCCTGCCGCTTTCAAGGCTCTTGCTCCAGAGTCTGCTGGACGCATCAAGGGAACCTGGTCTTTCGTTTAGATTGACAGACATTCGGAAATCGGCAGAGCTGGTCAAGAGATTGATTTGCTGTAGAATTTATCCCTCCTGCTGCACGGCCAGTGGTGGATTGGTGGTGTCCATACGTGGAGGGTGAAAGTTGTGGTAACCTTAGATCGTTTTATTTTCGTTGGATTTTGGAGAGGTTTTGCGTTCTGGTGTTCGAACATTGGGAGAACAAATTGTCATCTGATGTTGTATCTATAAAATTACGGGGGAAAAAACAATATTTTGTAGAAGTAAATTGAATTTGCCCTGCGGCATGACATCACGGGTCTGATTCCATTCATTTCGCGATGGTGACTTTGAATTTTTTTATTGTGGCGTGACTGTCCATGCTATTGTGATGCATAAGGAATCCAAACAGGTAACTTCAACGGCACAGCGATGTCTATAACCTAGGAACTTATCACCAACATTGAACCAAAATGACAAGAAGGTGCGATAACTTTATTGATGCAGGAACAGAAAATCCGTGTTCCAAAATTGAGATATCCAGGCTGACGTTTTGGAATCTCGGTTATTAAGCTAATGAAGGGGCTTGATTGGTGAACCAGTATTTCGGGCCCGGAAAGCCTGAATACACTTCCGGGGTTGGACAAAATGCAAGTAAATACAATTTCGGGGCTGGCTGGAAAACTATAGCAAATCCTCGCTATAAGCATAAAATCGAATTTTTTCCCCCCTCGACCTCTTCAATTGGATAACTTTGACATAATACCAAAACGATTACATCTCATTGAATGTCCGAGTACATCCGAGCCAAATCCCGACCTTGCCATCCTGATTTATGCAAAATAAGAATAATTTGAAGAAATAAATCTTTGGAAATTAAAATATCTTCAAGATGAGCCTTATAGCCGATCCTCGATGCGGGGTTTTGCTTTATGGGGTGCAACCTATGCACCTGGAACATAATCTCACAAGGCCTGGTGGGCCCTTATTTTTGAGACATGTTTTTCTAGCGAGACATAACACAATGATCCCGAAAATTCATTGGCATAAAGAACCAAGGATATAAGATCGCGATAAGTTTGGGGACACTCGGGGCAACTCTAACCTTGATCGGCAAAACTCAACCTAACTTGGAAATTCCGGTACGTTCTTGGAATCCTGAGCAGATAACCTTCAAGCATTTTTACAGATCTACCGAATGACTTTCCGTTTGTGGGCATCAATGCAGTACCACATATCACTATCGCTGCAGCTGTCATGTCGAAATAATCATGGTTGGGGCTCACACCGAGTTCTGTTACTTCTAGCCTTTTGCAACTTCAAAGTTGGCGTTGTCATTCGGGTTGTTTTCAGATGAAATGATAGGTAGACTTCCGAGACCCTGGAATGCGCCTTCCACCAAGTCTTATGAACTTCTCGAGACGATCTAACGTCTGAAATCTTCCATCGATTTCGGTGTGGTCCCCAGTCACCATCGCATTCCGATCTTTGACTAGAATCACGATTAGTTCGCACGATCGGAACCCGAGAAGAACCACAACACTTGACTAAAGGCCGCTCGTGCTTACGCACCCATCACTCAGGCTTGAGGTTTCTAGTGGCCGTCATTAGTTGCATAGTCCAACAGGGCGCTCTCTAAATAAACTGATTCGCGGGACGCTCCACCACAAATCTGAATCCTACTTGTGGACTCGACTGGGTTTTCCTCTCAATGCAACGCTATCATATCGATGATCTTTAACATCTGAAAGTTAAACCTTGCAGAGGCCCTTTAATTGACACCCTTATCAAGCATCTATTCTAAATAGATCACTCGATTTGGCTACTGGCGTCTGTTGAAATACAATTTCAAGCATTTCCTTCTTTCATAGTGCTCTGGCGACGCTTTTGCTATCGGTTTTCGCTCGAAGATGCGGGCTTCACACTATCCTTCGATGAACAAAGCCACATCTGAAAGACTTCTTCCACCGTTGAAGTTTGTGTGCCATTCTCTGCGCGTGGTAGTAAACAAAAATCGCGTGTTACTTTCGACAGACTTTTTTCTCCGAAAGATATACTGGTAGAACCTCGTTTCTTGGGAGTGAAGCAATTAATTCCAAGGGACCGGGACTTGCACTGCATAAGTGAGCTAGATGAGTCATACAGATTTCTACAGTGGGCAAACCAAAAAAGTAAAACTTATTACTCTTTCCCATTTCACGCTGCATGTATTCGAGGCGCGAACCAGCCCGTATCCTGGGGTTGCACTGACAGCAATGAGTGTCCATCAACATCTTTAATTACATTCCACCCAGCCTTAACATTAAAACTTCCATGATACTTAATAACGACTATAGTCAAAGCGTCTTACTTTGAATAGTATTATGTCTAGAAGCGGTGAGTGTCAATTCATGCAGACAGATTTGCCTGGTTTGCCTCGTTCCAACATTGGCCTGCGACGAAACCTGCTTCTACGGACCAGAGTTGTCTTTTCACTCAACTATAGATAACAATAAATATTGTCAGATCAGTACAAGACTGTAGGCAGGGTTTCATTCCGCAGAATTCACAGATATTTAGCAGGGCTTACGCCTAGGATTCGAGGCTCTTTACCGCATCTGAATGTCACAACGCGTAAGTCGATCTAATTCTGCCGAGAATATGGATTTTATGGGAACTATTGGCTTGCTTGGTTTATCTCCGAGAACAATTACTTCAAAGATTCTTACCAACTGCATTGCCAAGAAATTGTTATTCGGGACGTTGCAGCAGCTCAAAGGCTTTGACAATGCTTGATCCGGTCAGTCTGGTAACACAAGTTATGGGTTTGTTAGTTTCGTGACGTGGCAGCCTGAAGTTTTATTAATTCTCAAGTCTGTTTATTTCTTTACTGGTTTGAGCCTTGCATTGCAGTCCATCCAACTATGGACGCCTGGAGTTATTAGACGAAACGACTTGGATTAGTAAATTGCTATATCCGGCCAGAGGCATCGGTAGCTAGCCGATGTCTAACTACTTACTTCATGAGCAGTTCGCCTTAACTTACATATTTCCGGCAATGCTCCATTCCCCATACTTTCTTCATCCAAGGCCTTGGATTTTCTGCAATAAAATATGGCTCAAAACCGTCCACAGTTTCACTGCGGATACTTTGGTTGCAACAAGACCTTTACGCGTCGCACAGGTGCTCGCCGTCACGAAACGACCGTTCATGGGGATAAAAAGTACTGTTGCAGTGAACCAGACTGCAATTATCGCGGTGGAAAAAGGCGACACGATTTCAAAAAACACATGCAAAACAAGCATCCTGGATATGATGGTATGTAGCCATGAAATTAAGATGGAAATAATGGAAATCTTAGCTTATAACTCTTGCAAAGATCACTTGTTCGTTCCAGAAGACTTCAGCAACCTGCAAGGCAGTCATTCTCTAGTTGCAGATCGCTCTCGAAGCCCAGAGGTCGGGAATTCTTCCCAAAGTGGGTTGCCTCCCACTAAAATTGAATCTTTACAATGACAATCCTAATCAATTGTGTCAAGTTTCTGGAGATTTCTCCTCAATGCCTCCACCGTCAAGTACCATATCGAACTCAAGGTACATTCCTGTCGACACCCACGAAGTCCTCTCAACCCCTTCGATGGCTCCATTGGTTTCAGCTGGCGTGCCGCAGTCTCATGGCAATACGATTAGCCCGACTATCATTTCTCTACGACCTCCCGATGCAAGTGAATTTCAGGTTGTCAACCTGCCACATTCTGATTTCGAGCCATTACCAACGACAACTACGACGATTGGAAGTATTTGGAGTCATGTTGATCCATCAACAATGTGTGATCTACCCTCGAACCTCCATGATATGACGGGCACAGGTGTCGAGAACGAGTATGCGACTTTTGAAGGTGAATATGATCTGAGCCGATGTGGACAGCCAGGAAGCGACCCTTATCACAGATGGTGATATTCAAATGTCCACCGCTATCACAAATGCTTCAGGTATCTACGGGAAAGGAGGCTTGAATGAATGCGTGGCTGTGTTTGGAGACGGTCGCTATTGAAGACGGATGTTCTCTCGCAGCTATTTCATTAGTGTCACTCTAAATGACATCAATACTATCGCCTCATTCTTCTCGGTATGCAAGTTGTAAAGCTTACATTCATTGGGTCTCGGAATTAAATAGAAAGAGCTGTGGGGTTTTCTCATTGTGCGAGAGAAGCTATAACACTTTAAGATTAAAATCCAAATCCTCTTCATCTGAACTGAACGAGCGAGACTACATTATTCTTTGACGTTAGCCTCTAGTCTCAATACCCCGCAGCAGCTGCTTTGACCGCTGCACATTTAGTAGAATCGGCTTTGCATCATGCATAGCACATAAATTATACATCAGCATAGGTCATAACGTCGTGGAACATTGTACTGCCTACAATGCCCTGATCAGTCTCTTCAAAAAAGTTACCAACATGAAGGCGTGAGAGAAATTATTTCGTTAGTTGTGGTCCCAATCGATAAAGCATGCACACATCATAGCGCCATTCCATGCGACGTGATAAGAGCTAAAGAAAATTCAAGTTAGTATGCAAACACTTTCCAACGCGTTATCACAGGATTGCATAGAACGATAAAAAAGCACGGGGAATGTCTTCAGACAAACATAATTATTAGCATTAAAGCCAGGCCCTTTCTTCACCGACTGTTATGCAGGGGTAATGAAGCTTACCCAACGAATGATACGCATTGATTCAAACATCCTAGCGAATCCTGGATATATAATCAATAGCATGAAATTTTTGGAATATTGAACTCACCGCTATTACTCCTTAAAGTCTATACTTGGGTTGAAAATATCATCTCATGGTTAAGTCATGACCGTCGAATGGACATCTGTGGCCGGAATAGAACACCACTGCTATACCATCATATGAATATTATACAATCAGGGATATAGACAGTCCAGTCTTAAGAAATTAAGTTGGATCGGTCATATAATTCGAGATGTTTCAAATGCGCTCAATGCTATATCATGTATGTATTAATGCTGGTATGACAGGCGGACAAGCAAAATAGCGCTTGACGGACAGTACAAATTTATCCGAACGTTATTCCACAACCCTAGTCTACACACAACCCTTGCTGAATTTCAACAGTAACCGATATCAGGAAATTCCATCTTCGGTCTGTTGCAGACTCTCGGCCAATTCCATGACCGAATTCGGAACGAGCCCCGTATTCATTCGGCACCCAAAACATAAGCATGAATTCCATGAGTAGGGATCAAAGCCTATCTTAAGCTCATGCATTTCTAATATATTACTGTGGGTGTATCGTACCAATAACGAACCGGAGCGCCCAGGGGCTCTAGCCATTCCAAACTTCAATGCCGTCAGATTGTCATACTGTCAAATCTGCAGGATCGGATAGACGGGTCCTAACCAGTTGCTTTCATGGGGAAGGTAGTGTCACAGCCAAGTATCCTGTCAAACCTGCAGGATCGGATAGACGGGTCCTAACCAGTTGCTTTCATGGGGAAGGTAGTGTCACAGCCAAGTATCCTGTCAAACCTGCAGGATCGGATAGACGGGTCCTAACCAGTTGCTTTCATGGGGAAGGTAGTGTCACAGCCAAGTATCCTGTCAAACCTGCAGGATCGGATAGACGGGTCCTAACCAGTTGCTTTCATGGGGAAGGTAGTGTCACAGCCAAGTATCCTGTCAAACCTGCAGGATCGGATAGACGGGTCCTAACCAGTTGCTTTCATGGGGAAGGTAGTGTCACAGCCAAGTAGCGGAGCAATTTGCCCTATCTTCCTAGGTGCACAAGCTTCGAGACGCTCAAGCCCCTCCCCCTTTCAGCATCTCGCTTAGTAGCCCCGCAAATGAGTCGTAACCCGTGCCAAGGTGAGAAAACGCCTCGTGTGTACCATTGAATTGGACCCGATAATGGCAAGGAGTATTACTATAATCCTGATTGTTTCCTCGGTATAATGCAATGCGGACTTTTAATGCAGGGTGGATTCCCGGAATAATTCAACAGCAGTAGTTGGTCATCTTCAATAGAGTTCATGCAGATCCCCAGATATCTTTCATGCCCGGAAGTCCGACCACTAATTCCACGGGATTAAACTAAGACATAGTGATGATCTGAAGCCGAAATCATCTTATGTGCCAGTACCGAGACATTGCGTCAAACTACCTACCTAGCAAGTTGGCGACAAAGTGCATCGACAGCACCATAATCGTGATAGTATCATCCGATAATTTGATTCTAGACCTCTTTATTCCCCAGCTATGACTCCCTTGATGGAGATAAGCGGAAATTTGACACTGTGGGACGCGCACGGTATGAACACGTGGTTAGCTTGCTGGTAGGGGGAAGTGAGCTCATAACTCAAAGACCCCCACGAATTGACCCCCACAACAAAATCATGAGACTGGGGAACTTCTATACCAGGAAAATATGCTGTTATAAACTAACATCGTTCAATTCAAGGAGTGGAGGAGTATTCCATCAGGTGCTGGAATTTGACTCCTGGTGACAACAACATAAGTCGGCAGTTATTAACAAACACCAAGATACAATACTACGATATCACTTCAGGGTATCCCACGAACTAAGTATAACTTCATGAAAGACTCGGCAGATAAAGCATCCTATAGTAATTAATCCACCTCGGAAAGTATCCGACGCTACCATCAATACAATGGGACTCTACCCCATAAATATATGGGACCCTAAAGGAGTCTCACACAACAGATCGGCGATTCAGTATAATTGTGACATTCCCAGTAAGCATGACCAGGGAGGGTATTGAACAACTCTAATTCTAAGAGATACTCACCCGCATGACTTTCCATCCCATCACGCACCCTGCCATCTTACCATCTCATCCGACCACCTCGCACCGCATTGATACCTCGCACCAGACTGGCGTTGCGGACATTACCAATCTAGGATTACAAATTTCGAGCAGAGACCTGCGTATAGGTACTTGCTGTTACCAATGATATTAACGATATGACAACTTGAGCTGATCATAGCCTTTCAACCAAACAGGAAGTCAGTTGTCTGATCTGTCAAGAGATATGGTTCTTGTGGTGCTAGTGCAGAGGGAGTAAGCCTTGATTAGTATTAGTAGAGCTCTGATATATTTATACATCAGAGCTCTTAACCTTGCGGTAAGCTAGTACCATTATCTCTGAATGCCTTCATATTCTAGCCAATGTTTCCCGCTGTACCCTGTCAAGAGTCATACTTGAAACATGATCTAGAGTTTTAAGTTTCGAGCCGAAGCCTGAACATACTTGTTGTTACTAACGAGATCTTTCATATTGCAACTTGAGCTAATTACAGCTCTTCAATTGTATAGGGAGGCAATTGCCTAATGCTCTTGAATTATATAATAGATTCTAGCCACTTTAATCAAGATTCTCTAATAGAAGGCTAGGATTCTAAATTCTATGATTGTACGTTAGAATTGAAAATGAAAGAATGAACTCTGTAGAGAATATACATATTCTAAAATAGCAGAGAAAAGAATTCAATTTACAATAACTAGAATCTAGCTATATGAGTACGCAACCTATTATAGAATTTACTATAAATTACCTACTCTTATACCCTAAGAATCATACTTGCTCTACTCTCATGCTCTTTGGATTTCATATATTCGAATTTATCTATATGGAATCTATGATAGAATCTAACATATAGTAGTCAGAATCCAGAGAAGACAAAAACGACAAATTACTCTCATGCCACATAATTAGAAGACAATATACTCATATATTACAGAATCTATTATAGAATTTACCTTAAACTGAAAGATTGTAACTACTTTAAGCTAGAATTTCTAATGAAGGGGGGGATAGATCCTATGATGAAAGATTAGATTATATTATAGAAGAATATATCCTAAGATGAGAGATCAGATTCTACAAACCCACCCCAACTTCCCATCTAAATCCTCTAAATCTCTCCCAGGAAACAAAACAAACTATATTCCCGCTACTAAAGACTTACTCATATATCTTTAATACAGATTCCATTATAGATTTCCAGAGACACAAGAATAGAAAATATATATATCTCATAATATATAATATCCAAGTAATTAAAAAACATATAGAGAATAGAAAAGGAGTTTATCGTAGTATTCAATTATAGATATAATATAACCAATAGATTTTTTTATTCTCTTCAAGATAAATTCATCATTACAAACCCAGCAATACTCCTCCTATTCACCTCTCCAACCCAATCAAATAACAATAATGCAATATTCACCCCTAAAGCGATTTTCGTTACTAACGTATACCCTTTAAACCCTATAAACTAACACGTAGAAATCGTCATACAACTTGAAAAGACGCTCAATTCACCCATACACCCATATCACACATTAAAATGACACACCACACACCCAACATCTATCTATTCATCAAAGATTCATTAATATCATTATATTTCCGCTACTCAATTCCCGATTATCTCAATCAGCTTAATGAATCCACCCCCTCCCTACCTAGGTACATTGTATCATTCATTTCACCAACCCTAAAGTGGAGTGCGGGGTATAACTCAAGCTAACCATTCCATCATACAACCCATACTTGCGACTGCAAAATGCCAACCAACTAGCCCGATTTAAATTGCCGTTTGTATCATTCATTGATGAAGTTGCGATTTCCATGTCATTTTCAGCTGAGACATCATTATGCGCCGATTATATGCATGCTGAGTACGTGCAGATTCTCAGACTCCTGTTCAAATGTAGCACGAGAGATTGAGGTATTAAGCCACGAAGAGCATCAATTAGGCCCATCTCGAACTCTCCCTTTCTGCCTCTAATCTAGCAATTCTGGCCTCGTCAGTGTCATCTCCGCCATCCCTATTTGCTACACCGCCTCGCTTGCCCCTCTTCCTTCCCTTCTTCCCACTACTGTCATCAATGTCATCACGGCTCCTCTTTCTACCGGTGCCAAAAGCACTTGTGAGACCTGCAATACGTTGTGCTTCTTTCAGTAATCTTTCTCTATTACGTGCTTCTCGCTCCAAGGTATGTGGGTCGACATCTTCTCGTTTCTTCTCGGGGCGTTCTTTTTCTTGATCACGGGAGGATGTAGTATTTCGCTCTGAATCTCTACGAGAGCTGCGAGATTCAGTGTGATGACTTGAACGATCCTTCTCGCGTTTACGATCACGGTCCCGCTGACCACCTTTCGGTCCGGTAGGGATATTTAGGGGCATATCGATGTCTTTAGAGGATCTGTTGCGAGAGCTTGCGCCTTTGATTTCAATGCCATTAAGTCCATTGGAGATGAGTGACAATTTTCTAGGCGCATGACCTGGTTCAGTAGGAGTTTGAAGGGGAGTGTCCCCTTTTACCCTCTCCTCAGCGTCACGAGATGCATGTCGGCTTTGTCTATGACGATGTTCCCTTTCACGGTCACGTTCGCTACGTTCGCGTTCTCGACTTCTGGAACGTTCATCACGGTGAGAACGATGGCTAGAACGATGCTTATGAGACGAAGACCTGTGTTTGTCATCATCTCTTTCTCTATCACGATATTTATCGCGATCGCGACGGCTGTTTCTATGACTTGATCTCTTTGACTCCTGTGGTGAGGCTGATCTAGATCTATCTTCGTCATCTCTTCTCCTTTCATCTTCATTCTTTTTCTCGGGCTTAGCATCTTTTGCATTACGCGAGGGATCTGCTTCATTCTCGAGTTGACGACGTCTACGCTCCTCTCGCCTCTTTTCTCGTCGCCGCTCACTTTCTTCCTCGTCTTCAGAGCGAGATCGAGAAGCGGATCTATGTCTGCGCCTATGACGTCGTTCTCTACTTCTGTCTCTCTTGTGATCTTTAGATTTGGACCTTGATCTTGATCTTGCTTTCTCCTTCTGTTGTGAGGGAGACCTAGTTCGTCCTCTATCTTGTGTGGCAGATTCTGGTGCTACACTAACACCGCTAATACTACCTCGCGCACTAGCGCCAGCTTTACCCGCGATGGAAAAACTGTGAATTCTAATATGGGGAAGGGCTGGTTTTGGTCCCTCGCGCATAGCTTTCGGTCCAGTGGGTGCGTTGATAGGTACGTCAACAGGCTTCACAAATGGAGGTTGCATGGCAGAGAAACTCCCACCACGACCACCACGTGATTGTGAAAATCCACCTCTCGGGTGGCCAAAATAGCGCATATTTGGATCTACAGGGGACATAGCATTGAAACCATCTCCAATCATGGGCATCGGTGCAAAAGCGGCAGATTCATTTGCCTCCAGTGATTGTATGGGTTGTGGGGTAAAGTCATCATTCCCAAATCCCGAAGAGACATCTTGTGCGGCATCTTCTGGGTCTACTTGGTGTTCTTTGTCGTCCTTAATCGCAGAAAGTTCGGCACTCTGAGTTTTAATGCTGCCAGCACCGCCTTCTGCTTCGTTCTTAGGGGTTTCTTGGCGTAATTCTCTGCCAAACTCATCGACTTTAGGCGCGCTTCCAGATTCATCATCTTCCTTCGGATTTGCAGAAATTGGATCATTTTCATTATATGATTCAGAAGATTGCTGACCTTGGCCAAATAGCTGCTGTGAGTTATGGGAGTGATCATTAAAACCATGTCCATAGCCACCCCGATTTTGTTGCCAGCCACCTCTGCCTCTACCTCGTCCACGGCCTTGGAATTGTGAATAACTGTTTTGATGGTCATTGTACTGATTTGCGCGTCCATAATTACCTTGGTTAAATCCTGCAGCATTTTGTGGAAAACCAGAATTATTTGCTCCATAATCACCAGGGCCCATGCCAGCAGCATTTGGATGATTGAAATTATCTGGTCCGACATTCCATGATTGTTGGGGATTCCACCCATTATTGAAACCAGAATTTACACCGCCATCGAAGTTTCCCATACCCATACCGATGTTCATGCCATTCATGCCCATGCCTGCCCCACCAAAGCCACCATTCATCATCATATTTTGCATTGTCATTGGATCCATACTCATCCCTGGCATTCCTGCAATAGTAGTTAGTGTTCCATTCGCTATAAAGTTTGTTCACAAACATACCCATCATGGGAAAACTCCCGAAACTTCCTGGAGCCATCCCATTCTGCATTGCCATCATCATTTGCATGGGATTGAAATCGCCAGAAAAGCCCATGCCGGGAAAGCCACCAGAGGAAGACTGATCAAACCCGAAACCACTTCCAAAAGCCGCATTTTGAGCTGCGCCGTCTTGGCCCTCTTTCTCTGCAGTGTCATTCTCCTCGCCCTTGTCACCGTCAACTGGTGCATCTACCTGCTTGGCATCCTCATCAGACTCTTGTCCAGGCGCAATCTCCTAATCAGTGTTAGTTTCCATAAGTCCCATTTATAGCTGTGATCCTGTAATCATACCTCAATCGAGGGCTGTGGAACATCGTGCGCTTCAGATTGTGCTTCCTCCGATGCGCCGGCTTCTGCCGATGCGATAATACTCTCCGCAGGTTTAGCAGACTCGGTATCTGTCTGTACTTCGTTTGAAGACGCAGTGTCGTCCTGTACGTTTGGAGTGCTATCAACAGGTCCGGCTAAACTGTTCGACTCTGTTGGAGTTGGTAGAGCGTCTGCAGGTGTAGCTGGCGGCGTTTCTTTACTTTGCTTAGCTGCGGCATCAACGCGCTTCTTCTCCTCTGTTCTCAAAAAGACCTTGATCGTGGTTCGTAATGATTTGTGAGGTTTGCAATCCTCCGAAGCCACTGGTGTGTGTTCGCAGACCGGACAGGAAGAAGGAAGAGTAGAATGACCTTTGACAAGTTAACAACTGGCACTGTTCGATGCGCAAATGGTGAGCTTACAAGTCTCGCAGATAGCCTGGTCACAACAAGGCATACGAAAAGCATTGACTGCTAATTTGCTACATATGGCGCATCGCAGCTTGATTGGGATCTCATCTTGAGATAGAGAGCTGGAGCAGTGTGAGCCATTGTCAAATTTTACTGTAACTTTTGGAAAACATACCTGATGAGTTCAGCTTGAGCTGCAGTAGGCGCAGACATATTGATCTTCCTGACCCGAAATTCCAAGATCGAAATATATGTACGCACTGATTAATGCTGGTTTATTGTAAACCTGATATTGAGGTAGGAAAGAAAGGGTAAAGGAATGGACGGCTCTCTATTTGCATGAATGCAAAAAAGTCATTCAAAGAGGCTCATGGTATTAATGAAGATGTTGAGTTTGACAATGGTCGCGTTTGCATTTGCGACGAGGCGGATGTCAAGTTTTTAGCTTGCTGCCCATACATAAATTGATGGCAAGGTGGTCGGCAATTAAACTTTTTAGTTCCGAGCAGTGATATGCCACTCACGTGATAATACCATATCTGTACTGTAGAGAGGGAGGATGATCTGATTAACGTATGGATTGTATTGTACAAACATTGGCTGCTGCAATTGCCTACTAAGTAGATGTTAGATGTTTTCTCACCGTTTTTGAGCAACAGTACAGCGGCCTATGAGCACACTGCTGATTCTCTATTCAACGATGATTGATGATTCTCTATTCAACGATGATATCCATGATGATTCACCCGGAATTGATGGAACCTTGGAAGTTGTTGTTGTGGCTAAGGATGCTGACTAACATGAAGTGGCTTGAGAAATGAACGATCTTTCCAAGATTGCCTCTAGCTGCCCTTAGCTGTCGTATAGTACCTTGGACTTATTAGAAACTTTCCCTTCTACACGTCTCCCTCATTGTTACTTTCTTTTTCCTATTTCCATCCTCTTAATAATGTCACATTGATCAACTTACTTTTCATCATGTTTCTAGGTCAAGTTTCGTGGCTAGATATTGTCGTCTATCTATTCTTCCTCACACCTCAATTGATCACCCATGTCGGCTTCATTCAGACTGCTAATTGTGGTCTGCAAGCATTGCCATTTTTGTGTATAATACATCCAAGTCCAAGACACATTATAGACACTATACTGACAGCCACGCAGTAATCAATCTTCCTCTATCATTCGTTAAGGAACGTTTCTTTACACCTCGTGAGCAACGATCACCTTTTGTCCAACAGGCCTCATGGTTTGAAGATATAGTCATCCGTTGTGTCCGTTATGCTTTTGCTTACATCCCAGCAAATATTGGCCGAGTCTTCTTCTCAAAAGGTGTTGCACTGCCATTCTTTAAGTTTCGCATGTTTCGTCATGGGTATGCTGAATCTCCAATTCATTGGAATGAGGTCGACCAGGTAATTTTCACATGCTCTCCATCGTCGATAACCTCAAAGTAATTCAAGTTTATAGGACAATGTGAAAGGAATTTGGATCATTGCGGACAAAACGAAGGAACCAGACATTGTAATCTATTATGCTCATGGTAGGTGTAGTTGTTTTATGATTTAACCTCGAAATTGCTAAAGAGTTTTTAGGTGGCGGATTTGCAATGGGATCAAGCTATTTCTATCTCGAATTTCTTCTTGCGTGGTTGAATCTTCTCAAAGACTCTAGGAAATTTCGAAATCCTGCCATCTTCGCATTGGAGTATAGCTTGGTACCCGATGAATCATATCCAACTCAGCTTCACGAAACCTTTGCTGGCTACAAGTATGTTCTGTCAATGACCGACGACCCCTCAAAAATTTGTGTCAGTGGCGATTCAGCTGGAGCAACATTGATTCTCAGCTTGCTTCTCCACATCGCCAGGCCAGATATTGCCAACTCGGATCCAAGCATTGAAAGAGTACATACTGAAACCCCTGCGATGGCTGTTTTGATATCCCCTTGGACGACCCTCGAATCACCACAACATAAGAATACTTCAAGCGACTATTTAGATGCGGATAGCTTACATCTTTATGCTCATCAATACGCTGGATCTCGAGCTTCTGTCTTGGATCCTTCAATCTCACCAGGAGCATGTAAAGATTTGGACTGGTGGAGAATGGCCAGTCCAACCAGAGGTTTCTTCATCACTTATGGTTCGGAAGAGGTATTTGCGCCAGAGACTCGTGATCTCATTATGCTTCTCAAAAAATCAGGAAAGGTGGAAATCCGAGGACAAGAACAAGTAGGTGGCATTCACGCATGGCCTGTTGCCGCTTTATTCTTAAGTAGTACTTCGGCGGCGAGGCGAAAGGGGTTACGCATGCTTGTGAGTGAGATAGGCGAACGAATGGGAAAGGCACATTGAGGTTCCTGTTTCACGGGGAATTTTTTTTCGGCCCCTTCAGAATTAATGAACAATGTTAAAAAAAAATTGCTTGGATGGAAAGGGCGCGATACAATCATAACTCTCTACTGGACGTAGATGTGGACCTCATATCGGGAAGAGCGAAATTTTCCTCAATACCACAAGCCCAACCGCAAGATAATGGGTTAGCTAAATGGCAGTCAAAGTGTTTCAAATAGATAATTACCACGGCAGGACCGGCGAGATAAGTCATGACCTTGAAAGCTTTCAAATTACCCCCAGCTTGAGAGGTCAAATACGGATCTTGAACCAAAGTCGATACAAAAGTCTCAAAGATCAACAGAAACTGTGCAAATCTCATCGATAGAGATGGAATTACGGAATGCAGAAAAATCATAGCACCGTAATCACGATAGGTATTGGATCAGTGGGCGAGCAAAGAGTTAATCGGATTTACACACTATAAATAAAAAAGTATAATTGCGTCTTTGGTCCATAAAGTTTATAGCTAGGTATCTAACTAGTACATACGAATAAGAATTTCCAATTGTAAGATCTTATATACTTTGAAGTGTCACTTACGGTATCCACGTACATGTATTGTACTAGCAACAATAAACTTTCATTACTAGGTAGGTAGGTATTAGCAGAATTTTTCATAACAAGCTTTGCAACGGCCGATCTTCGGCAAATACTGGATATTCCTCCTCTACTCTACAATACGTGATAAAAAATTATACTGTAGATAGGTACCTAGGTACTAGGTGTATTCAACAAGAAACACTAGGTACATCTCAAAGAAGAATCTTCGCATGTAAAAAAGGAATCCAAGTATATATCTAATCTATATATATATATATATATATATATATATATATATAAATACCTACATATACAATTTTGAAAATATTTCTATCATATACCAACCAGTACCTAGGTAGTTATTAGATACCTACCTATCGAGCTACTGTACCTTAGTTTGATATAAGTCTTACGATAAAAGCGAAAGTGTACGAGTAATCTTACATTCAGCCCTATACGTAGATAATCCGAGGATATGAATGGATACCTAGTAGGTATCCGAATCTTGACACTGGTGGTGCATCCATTCCCAAGCTCGGAGATTCGGCGCACTAGGTATTAGGTATGTATAGTAGTAAGTAGTGAGTAGTAAGTAGTAAGTAGTAAGTAATAAGTAGTAAGTAGTAAGTAGTAAGTAGTAAGTAGTAAATAGTAAATAGTAAGTAGTAAATAATAAGTAGTAAGTAATAAGTAGTAAGTAGTAAGTAGTAAGTAATAAGTAGTAAGTAATAAGTAGTAAGTAGTAAGTAGTAAGTAATAAGTAGTAAGTAGTAAGTAGTAAGTAGTAAGTAGTAAATAGTAAGTACCTTAGTGGGGGTTGCTGGTTTTTAATTATAGTGTATAAATTGTATTTAAAAGAAAAGATTATATATATAAAATAAAACTGTGTATAAAAAGCAAAACTGTATACAAAAGCAAAACTGTATACGCGAAGCAAAACTGTATACGCGAGGCAAAACTGTATACACAAGGCAAAACTGTATATACAAAAAAACTATATATAAAATTAAATTATAATTATAATATTACTATATTAGGAAGATAATATTGTATTAAAAAGATAATACTATATTAGAAAAATAATACTATATTGGAAAGATAATACTATATTGGAAAGATAATACTATATTAGAAAAATAATACTATATTAAAAAATTAGTATTATATTAGGAAATTAATATTAATTTAGATGAGATATATATTAATAAAAATGAATTTGATTATGTAATCTAATTTAATTGAATTTGATTATTAAAAAAATTATATGGGATAGTAGCGTAGTGGTAGTATATATTACTTATAATTTGAAAAAGATTAAGAATAAAAAGATTAAGAATAAAAAGAATAAGAAGAATAAAAAGAATAAGAAGAATAAAAAGAATAAGAAGAATAAAAGAATAAAGAATAAAGAAGAATAAAAAAAGAAGAAGAATAATACTAATATTTTTTAGGGAAAAAAAAAGTGGGGATTATTTTATTTTTATTTATTTATATATAGTTTTATTTCGTATATACAGTTTTACTTCCATATACAGTTTTACTTCCATACACAGTTTTACTTCGCATACACAGTTAACTTCCCTATACAGTTTTATTTTCATACACAATATTTATTTTAATACTGTATTCGAATCTATTATAATACTAAATATAACTCTGTGAATACACCAAATTTTGCACATCACAGTTCTAATAAATTTTTATAGTTGAGACACTATAATAAAAAACCAGCAACCCTCACTAAGGTAGTAAGTAGTAAGTAGTAAGTAGTAAGTAGTAAGTAGTAAGTAGTAAGTAGTAAGTAGTAAGTAGTAAATAATAAATAGTAAGTAATAAGTAGTAAGTAGTAAGTAGTAAGTAGTATATATACTAATGTTTTCAAATATATAAGTCGGTTACCCTACTTTCGGGCCAACAGGGTTTTGAGCCACCCTTTTACACCAAAAATCACTTTTTAGGCCTATTAATATCTCTATCAATATATAATATAATTCAATGAAAATTTGTATATATATAATTTAGATCGATTTAAGCTTATTCTGAAATTTTTAGATTTTTAGGATTTTTCTGTATTGAGAGCTAGAGCTTCAAAATATCGATTTTCAAATTTGTATGGGAATCACATACAAATTTAGAATTTTTATAAAACCTTTAATAACTTTTTAACAACAATTATTAAAAGAAAACTATATATATTTCTGAGATATTTGAGCTTGAATCTATATAGAAATTCAAAAAAAAATTCAAAAAAATTAACAGATATAGAGATATAGTATACAGTGAGTTTAGAGTAGTATAAATAATCCCTGTCATTTTGAGGGTACCCCTTTAAATATTTATTTATGAGAATTTTTTTATTTTTTCTGAATCTATTATATGAAATATATTATAAAGTGATAGTGAAATTTTACAATATATTTTTAGCAATTTTTATTCGAAAGTTATTAAAGATTTTATAAAAGTTTCAAATTTGTATGTGATTCCCATACAAATTTAAAAATCGATATTTTGAAGCTCTAGATTTCAATACAGAAAAATCCTAAAAATCTGAAAATTTCAGAATAAGCTTAAATCGATCTAAATTATATATATACAAATTTTCATGAAATTCTATCCATAAATGAGAGAGTTAAAATTTCCATTTTTGGTGTAAAAAGTGGCCCAAAAGGGGGGTGGCCAGAAAGTGGGGTATCCGACTTATTAGGTATATACGTAGGTAGCATACGATATCTTGACGAATCGAATTTCTAATAATTTTTTGATGAATTTTTGATGAATTTTTGATATGTTGAGTTTTTCCATATATGTATGTATATATGTATCCATGTATGTATGTATGTATGTGTTGTATCTAGTGGGTAGGATATGATTCTCAATAGATGAAGGTATCTAGGTATGGTATCGCTAGAAAAGAGAAAGAGAAAGAGAAGAAAAAAGAGAAGAAGAAAGATCGTCGATCACTCACTCACTCACTTTGCACCGTACCCACCAATCACACACGCCATGAAATCTTACATCATAGCCACGAGCGCGGTTTCCACCCCCTCGACAATTTTACCCAAACGGGTAAAAACGTCAAACTTTAGTCGCGCCTAGGTGAAACTAAGAGGGGAAGGGAGAAAAAAAAAGATTTTATCTTATCACAAACTTGTCGGACACGTTACTTGGGTAGAAATTTGCTTCCGCTTTGAACTCTCCACAACTTTTTATATCGCATCGCATCGCATCTCATCTCATCTCATCTTCTCTCCTCCTCGTACCCACGTTTGCGCACTCATCACACTCCTGACCGAGAAATTTTTGTATAGAAATATAACGTACCGTGGGAATCCCTGTATTTATCATTCGTATCGTATCGTATCATATCATATCATATCCCATCATGTCTCCCAGCCAAGACACTCCTCCATCGGAGCACACCCCCAACAAGACCTCCTCCCCATTCTGGGAAATCAAGCCCATCCCCGGAAAAGGCCAAGGCGTTCTCGCAACGCAGGTCATCCCCCCAGGAACCCTCCTCTTCGCCGAAAAACCCCTCCTCACAACCGAAACCCTCACCTCCCCCTCCACCACCGAAAAGCAACTCGCGCAGCTCCTGCGGGCCCTCCCCAAAGAATCTCAACGCGCCTATCTCTCCCTCCACAACAATTACCCCGGCCAAGGTTCCCCCCTCACAAACATCATCCGCTCCAACGCGTACCCCCTCGGCCCCAACTCCCCCATCGGCGGCATCTTCAAAGACATCTCCCGCATCAACCATTCCTGTCTCCCCACCACCCAACACTCCTGGAACCCCAAGCGTCAGGAATTTCTCGTTCACGCGGTCCGGGAAATCCTGCCCGGAGAAGAAATCACTACTTCCTATCACGTGGGCGGTCCCTCTTCAGAACGCAAAGCCGAATTAAAAGAATTCTTCAAATTCGACTGCACATGTTCGCTCTGCACGCTTCCACCCGCCGAGCTTAAAAAATCAGACGCCCGACTCATCCGTGCAGCCGCTCTAGATCAAGCAATCGGTCATGCGGAAACAGTTATGAAGAACCCGGAAAAGGTGCTCAAGTCGTGTAAATCTCTCGCGACGATTTATCGGGAGGAAGGCATCAGAGATCAGAGAATCGGGAGAGTCTACTGGGATGCGTTTCAGATTTGTAATCGCCATGGGGATTTGGCGCGGGCGAGCGCGTTTGCGAAAAAGTATAGAGAGAGTAAGGTGCTTGGAGAAGGAGAGGATAGTGAGGGCGCGGTGGAAGCGTTGGTGTTTATGAAGGATCCGAAGAAGGATGATAGTTATGGGGGGACGCAGAGGTGGAAGAGTAAGGTGGAGGATATTCCGAAGGGGGTGAGTGATGAGGAGTTTGAGAAGTGGTTGTGGAGAGAGTAGATGTTTGGTCCGGATTGTAGTTCTTTGCGGTTCGGCTGGGTTGGAGTTGCATTGGTGTTATGGATGCTTTTGGGTAAAGATTGGTCGAGATCATAGATCTATCTTGGTTTGGATTCGCATCAAAGATGCCCCGTGTTTTCTTATCCGGATTACATATTCGATATATACTCCATCATATAGACATCGAGAGTCGCGATATATAGATAAAAATGTTCCATAGTCGCAGCAAGCCCACGAACATCTTTGTATAGAATTGGAACCAAAGTATAAAAATGTCAAAATTCGTATCTCATAAATTCCACTGTGGACAAAAAAATAAATGACTAGGTATCATCGAAAACAAGCGACGACAGCCTCAGTACCGAGTAGTCATCCATATCCATATTCGTGAATATGAAAGAGCGCCTCGTACAATCTCCCCGCCTATTGGTCCCCCGTCAGCTGACCCCACCAATGATATTTCTCCAGGAATTATTTGCAGATACCTAGGTATGTTATGTACCTGGAAAAATAGCTTTCTGCGCGAATTTATTTATTTCCTATGAACGGAACAAATATTCTCGTTTTAAGGAGGATGGAATTGTCGGGATTGAAATTCTTAAATGTTGAGATTCGGGTGATGCATTTGGGGTGAGATCTGAGATCTACTGTAAAGTTAATGGATCTTGCAGAACGAGAATGGGACTTGGAGATTGCGATGTGGTATCTATATCATTACTCACTCATAGAACAGGACAAGGTTTGTTTTGCGATTTGCAATTTACATTGAATTACTATATTCCGAGCTCAAGATATCACCATGCCAGTACGCGCAAAGTATGCGAATCAAGTCAAGAGTCTGGAGGTATCTAGCATATATACAGTATTTCTACCATCTATCAACATATGCCCCATCATCTTATTCCAACTATCTCGACGATTTTTCCAATAACCAGGACATCCCATTCTTACAATCCTCTATAAACTTCTTTGTAAATTCCGCTTCGGGAAAGTATGACCAAAACCCGTGCGGTAAGCCCGGGTATATATCTGTCTTGGTTTCAACTCCGCTCTCTTTTAATATATCTTCGTATGTAAATCCTTCATCGCGTAGAGGATCCATACCACAAATCTGGAAATATGTCGGGGGTAAGTCCTTGTGAGATTCGAATAATATTGGGGTGAGTAAGTGTGTTGGTTCGCCTGCCGCATAGAGTCCTAATTTGTTAGAAATGATATATCTGGAGTGAGATGGAGTGTTTACTTACTGTCGAATGTTGCTGCGATTTCCCTGTTCAATAATGGAGCATCTTTGTTCTGTTCGAGACTCAAGTATGTGTCTTTGTACTTTTCTGGTACCACTTTATGGGAAACGACGGGAGGAATCGAGAGATAGACGCCAGTCAATGGTGGAGATAATTTCTCATCTCGATATAAATGTGAGACTATAGATGCAAAGTTGGCACCAGCTGAGATTCCTCCAACCAAAAAGCCCTTTGTTGGGTTGACTCCAAGCTCTTCCACATTCGAAGCAGTCTGTCGCATTCATTAGTATATATCCAGAAGCGTCAGATGCGACACAACACTTACCCATTTCAAAGCATCGTAAGCATCATTCACACCTGCAGGGAATGGATCTTCAGGCGCAAGTCTATAATCAACATTTATCGCCACTCCTCCCAGCTCCGTCCACTGTCTACATAGAACAGTTTCATTATCTAACCCACCTAAACAAAATCCACCTCCATGGTAGACTACAAAGACGGGACTACCTCCACTGGGAGGATTCTTCGGTTTGTGTATCCTGATTCCGATAGAGTGACCATCTCGAGCTGGTATTTGACGATCTTCTTCGATGAATGAAGCTTGATTTAATGATGCTGTGCTGGCTGCAACAAGTTCTTTCTTCGTCGCCAGGAGGCGTTTTCTTAGTTCTGGAACATCGGTATCGGCGTTAATCCTCCGCTTCACTGGTGAAATCTTCAAGATCTATGTCTTTTAGTATCAAAGTACGAGTAACAAATAGAATATATGTTACTATGTACCTCTTCTAATTCCGGATTGATATTGGCAAGACCGAGTAGGTATTCTGGAGAATGCATCTTGACAGTATTGAATATGAGTGTGTATGGAATGTCAAAATAGCAACATAAATAAGAAATATAAAGCTTTACGAAAGAAACCAAGGGCATGGAAATCCCGACTTTATTTCCTAGCTTCATGCCATTCCATTGGTATGAAATAGTCCCCGAGCACTAACGATCTGACTAGGACTAGGTAGTTGGGGCGCATCCCCACAACTTCGTGAGCATTACTACTTTGAGAAAGGCTACTTTCGACGGTACCACAGATGTGATCATAATATTTTGATCCATTGAAGAAGGAATGTAAGAATGATGACAGTTGATTCGTCCATTTGAATGAAGGATGTTCATTTCGATCGAGTGGAGAGACGATGTAAGACATGGAGGGAAAATCTCTTCAGAAGACCATCCTTCTTTTGCCATGAAGAATATTGCCATTGTCAATCCATGTAAGTTGAAGGAAACCATATAAAACCATATAAAACCAGTAGAATGGATTCCATGGATACACTCCATACCGAGCTTCCCGATTGAGGCCAAGGACCCAAAGTCTATCCTTGTAACTCATGCTCGGGACAAGAATTTGGATTTCCGAGGCATCGTCCGACCGTTCAATTCCCAAACTATGAAAGTCTCGTTCCCGATTAGTACCATCAACTGAACAGATGCTCCGCAAACGCGTAAGATAATCATTGTGACACTTAATCGGAACCATTCTATCGACCCTTGAAGCGGAACAAGGTTACATCAGACGAGGCTTATGAGAGTTAAACTTCGCTCATGTATCGTATAGTAGCTCGAATCGAAAGGCCGTGAACACAATGATTTCTCATTGGCTACTCGAGTACTCTGAAACAAACCTTCACAGTATCAACTCCTATCGATCCGCAATCTTCATAACGGTGGATGTGATAACAACTACATCCTGCAGGCTATTCGGGGAACTCAACGGCGATGCTTGCAAGGGTGGTGAGAATATTTTCTCGGTTTGCAGATCGGAAAAGGGGTTTTAAGGGTTAGAGTCGCGAGTGACTCGCAAGAGCTGGACGCGTTTGCTGACCCAATAGTTGGACGAGTGCTCCCTTACCGAGGAAAGAGAAGATGGTTATCTCTCACACTGGGTCCGTTGGGCAGCAAAGTTCTCTGTCGCTACCATCATACACCTCAATCGATATATGATTTTCGTAATCTTACAAATACGAGGTAAATGGAAATTTTGCGACGAAACACCTCCAGGCTCTCCAGGGCTCCCGAGGTCATCTCTATATAACCTCAAGCCACATGTGGCTGGTGAGCATGTCTTTTCGGTTCCACTTTGAACAATCAATCTCACTGTTCGTCCTATTATTGATATGTATCTACTCAGCCAGTATACTCTCATCATCAAAATGGTTAAATCACAGGTATCCATAGATAATCCGATCCGACATATGCAAAAGGATGTGAGTCCTGACTCATACCGTATGAGTCATACGGTGAAGTTTGATGTACATATACATCCATACCTATATAACCGGTAAGTACAGGTAATGGGCTCAGTCTCTGGCCAAGATACAAACACCTTTACACATTTCAAAATGAGTTCTGCATACTCCTCTGAACAAATTGACCTGTACGAAGAGTACATTTCTCTCCCCTCCAAATATCGACGGGGAAACAATCCTGCACTTACTCTCGACTATCTAACATCTCTACACATCCATCACATCTCCACTATTCCTTACGAAAATCTACTGCTACACTACTCACCCGATCACTCGGTATCTCTAGACCCTCAAGCACTCTTCACAAAAATCATAACCAACGCTCGAGGAAGAGGTGGATATTGTCTAGAAGGTAGCACATTTTTCAATCACGTGTTAAGAGCACTAGGATTCCAAGCATATACCGCCGGAGTCAGGATCAGACGTAGATCTACACACGATGGTGTTCCACGGGGGAATTACATCGGCTGGTAAGATTAGCACCCCTCACTTACCATAAAAACCCCTCGCTTACAACCCAAACCCAAACACAAACCCAACCTCCACCCCTCCAAACTAACCGCACTCCAGGTTCCACATCGTAAATATAGTCACACTCCCCAACACCCACAAATACATGATCGACGTCGCATTCGGCGGTGACGGAGCCACCAAACCCCTCCCCCTCATCCCCGGTCACACGATTCACAATCTCGGAACCCAGGAAATTCGTCTCGTGTACGAACCCATCCCGCAACAAACCGACCAATCGAAACCTCTCTGGATATATCAATATCGCAACGGACCCGACAAGGAATGGAATTCTTGGTACGCGTTCAACGAACATGAATTCCTGCCGGAGGATTTCGAAATCATGAATTATTTTGTGAGTACGAATATGAGCGAGAGGAATTTTCAGACGAAGAATGTTTTGATTGTGGCTTTTGTGACGGGGGAGGATGAGCATGGGAGGGAGAAGATTGTGGGGAAGAGAATGTTGATTAATGGGGATGTGAAGGAGAATATGGGTGGGAAGACGCGGTTGGTGAAGGTTTGTGAGAGCGAAAGTGAGAGGGTGCAGGTGATCAGGGAGTTTTTTGGGATTCGTTTGACGGATGAAGAGGTGGGTGCTATGAGAGGGAGGAATGTGGAGTTGAGAGGCTCTCATGCGTCGCTGGAAATTTCGGGAGTATAAACATCTCACTGTATTGGTATAAACCGATATGGCAAATGCAGTGAGGGAGAACACGATAACTCTCTAGAATTCTCTGCGAGAAATGAGGATAGAATTGTTGGGTGGTGAAACACTGTCTGCGATCACATCTTGCAATGATTAAGTATTTGATTCCTACCCTTTAGTGCGATGGGGCGATTTTGAGTGCGACAGCGCATGGTTAGATCCTTTCGCAAAACACCAATCCTCATAACTTCTAGCATCAGATCGTACCAAACCCATCGCATGACTCTTCCAAATCTAGCTACTAAAACCGCAGTTAGACGCGCCCCCGAGAAGAGAACCCGCCATTTAGATGCAAATGGGTGAACTACCCGGACCCTCCATCTCCAAGTCTCCAATTCCACAGACCTGGTTCTCCCCCAAAGAAAAAGGATAGAATCCTAACCAAAAATAATTAATCTACCTCGGGGTGTGGTTAGCTCTGCATTTATAAAATAAGCTTCTCAACAATCATTTAATTCCCCTAAACAAATCCCAATCCCTATATTAAAGAACAGTCAGTCGGTACAACTAATTAAATAAACAAATCTGAGGGTTCAAGATTGAAGGAGTGGAAATCTTGTCTAATATTTCGAGATTCCTAGTAATCTATGCGTATATAATACTGTACAAGTTTCCTTCACATTCCACCAAAAAAAACCCCCTATCCACTACCGTGCCGTGAGTTCAGACCAACATGTTGATAAGTATTATCCCACTAAATCGTATATTTGTTAGTAGATGTCTATCACAAAAGTCCTTATACCCTTGATTACAAAAAGCAAAAAAAAAAAAAGAAAAAAAGAAAAAAAAAAGCACAAAAAAACCACTCACAGGTGCACTATTAAGCAAATCATTCAATAACACATTATCCTGCACTTCATTCCCCATATCTCTATTCGAGCCATTCAACGCCGACGGATCTACCATATACCGCGTCGCCTCTGGATTAAAAGCCCAGTTCGAATTCGAGTCCATAGATTTTGAATTGCGATATGGATATGTTGTATTGGATGTTGAAGATTCTGAAGAAGGGGTATTTCCAGTTTGAGGCCAACTCAAGTCGGATTCAATTGTTTCGCTGCCTGAATCCCCTTGCGGATTTAGTTGTGGAGGGAAGTTTGCTGCAAAGGGGCAAGCAGATACTACTTTTGAGATGGCATCGTATGTTGGTTGTTGTGTGGCTTGTGGGGGCGTATTGGCAGATATGCTTCTTGTTTGACCGGTATCAATTGAGCTACGAGAAGACTCATCCTTTGGACCTTTTCTTCGGTAGCTATGAGGAAAAACGCAAAGACTCGGGTCGTCTACTTCTGGAGAGTTACGCAAATCATAAAGAATGTTTGCCATATCATTGCGATCGACTCTCTGTGTCTTAATTTCGAGTTCAAGTTGAGCAGTAAAGTGTTTTGCAATGATGTGCTTTTTCCCAACAGCCTTCATAGCTGACACCATAAACTCTAAATTGCTGGAACTTTGTGGGTTTGGTCTATCCTTTCTTGTATCCTGGAGGATAACACCAGAAGCAACATAAAGACAAAAGCCTATCCATGAACTCATCTATTTGACATTAAAATCTCTCTCACCAAAGTTTTATCGACGAGAGAACATACCTTGGATGCATCGAAATGACTTATAAGGCGCATCAGATTCGTTATTTCTTCGGCTGCCATCAAACTTCTCGCTTCGCTTTGGCTTATGAATGATTGACTGATATTTTCCCGCTCAGCAACCATGACTGCTCCTTGATGTAAACAGCTAATTCATTGTTAGAAAGTAACATTGTCATCTAGCATCGTACTTACATTGTTGCACAATGTATGTTCATATGGAAAAAGACAATGTTGGGATCCCTCAGTCCAGCAGGTAATCTGAGGTGATCAGGTAGAAACATGAATGTACTAGACAATATATTGTCCATTTTCCTGTGATTTTTCCAGAATGAACCGTTGGCGAGATCGTTGGCACCATCCTCTGGACCACTTTTAAGCGTGTGCTGGCTATTGCGACCGAACAGACATGCTGACAGGATAACTCCAGCAAAAGATGATATCGTGGAAGCACCCTCGGGAGTTAATGCCGCAGCCAACGAGCATGTGTTTTCCTTTACCCCTAAATCCCACGCATCATTGTTACATGGTAGGTTGGTGTCAATCTGCAAGTATTAGTCTAATGCTCTGTCAACGAAATCCATTCGTACCTTTTCCTCATCAAACATCATTGGCCATCCGGTAGCACAGCTAGACCATCTGTCACCATAGTAAGCTGCCCAGAATGTCCTTCGTCGCTCCTCCTGTTCGACCCAATCCTTCGATGGAGGTAGTAATTTCTTTCCTGCAAAAGGTCCCTCTGCATCAAGCCTTTGCAGTGAAAGCATATGACATAATCGTGCACTAGATTGTAAGTATGCAATTTTGAGATGCATTGTAAAACTTACCATCTTCCTGTACTCATCCATGCTCGACCAAAATAAGCGTTTGTGGCCTCGTAGTTACTAATGAGTGACCAAGCTTGAACGGCGGGTATGCACATCAAACCCTCTCCTTGTCCCTAAATCACATCAATATCAAGGAAGTACCTAGAATCAGTTCTTAAAAGACAAACCTTCATCTCCGTAATCTCAGCGTATCTTCTAGCTCTCTCGTAGAAGATTTCAGCATAACTCTGGTAGTTGTCCGAAAGTGCTGGTCCTGTTAGCTTTTGTGGTGCAAAAGGGGGGGTACATTCATACATGCTGCTACCGTCATCATAGCATATCGCAACGAAACCGGCGGTCTATGGTTTGTTGGCATATTCAGAGCGGCAAAGAATCGGCCCTTGTGTATCATAGGCAAAGTTGGATGAAATCTTTCGAAATATATTTGGAATCTGTTCCATCAGTACATGTATTTCCTTGCACCAAGAATTCAAACATACAGTTCATCCATGAGATTATCAGGAGGCAGAGGTTCTTGTAGTCCTAAACTTATGACATCTTGGGAAAAGTAGTCTCCAATTGGTACTGTAGATGCAGTCCCGACATTTCCACTCAAGATATCGTATCCTATATTTTGTATTCCCTCATCTGTGAAATTCATGTCCATATCCATATTCATAGCATTCCAGTCCGGTTGGGTATTTGTAATTGTATTTGTAATTGTATTCAAATTCCCATTCGTATTTAAATTCACGTTCATCTCAATCGCATTGATGGCATTCTTCGCATTATTCGCATTATTCGCAGCGAGTTGTTGCGTCTCTGCCACGAGCTGGGTTTCCACTTGTGCCAATCTAGCTTCCAATTCTTTCATATTTCTCCTCTTTGTACCTATGTTTCTCCTTCTCTCGGGATATTCGCACTCGTGTCTTAGTCTGCCACATGTCCCGCATTTGGGTTTTACTCGATCGCATTTCAATTTCCTCCGCCTGCACGATACACATGATATTGTCTTCTCTGCGCCTTTCTCTTTGACCTCTCCTGATGTGGTGTTGAGAGGATTATTTTGTGGTGCGGTCGCATCGTTTGTAGATGAGACTGATGCCTCTTGCTCCGGGGAAGTCGACATGGCACAGCTTCGACGATTGGTATATGGAGAGAGAGAAAAAAGAAAGACAGAAAGACAGTGAAAGAGATAGATTACCTGCAGCTTGTATCAAATTAAGAAGAGGAAAAGATTCATTAAACATAACAACAACAGCATTGAGAATCAAAGTCCTTTGCCGTGAACCTTAAAACGACTTGTTTGGCTAGCCAGATTTGATCCGTGATAAGTAAGCAAGCCAGAGACCTTTTCACGTCAATGACCGAATTAAGGTTTTCCTGATGTCGAGCATCCTTGTTCGATTCATGCAACCCTTGTTTGAGTACGAATTTCGATTGTCGCCTTGAATACTTGAACTACCTAGGTAGGTCCCTAGTACTTGCTGCCTATCCTCGTGATTGTGGTGGCCTTAAAATATCCATTCCAATTATTGGATCCCTCGATACCTGCCTGGTACGTACTCACTCGATCCTGGGAAGATTGACGTATATCACGTGATTTTGTTGCATATCTGACTTGAGATGAATAGGCTGTTTGAGGGAAAGTGTGAAGATTTCCCATCTTCTCGTCTGTGAAGCTCGTAAATGCTGGAATTTGATTGGGAAGGTTCACTCGACCTCCACTAATACCCACAGTATACCTCGCAGCTAATGTCGGATTATGATAACTTATTGACTTGTGAGCTTATCCTGTCTCTGCTGCGATGTCTACGATAGGTACCTAGTATACGATTAAGCATTCGCCTTCGTGGATATCATGCAAGTTTGCTTGCTGGGCTGGGCTGGGCTGGGCTTGGCTTATATGTTTATACTTTTGGCGTTAGTCTTGATTGATCTTTACATGACCCCTCTATCTCTATATAAATATCTATGTGGGTATGTAAATAAGTTAGTATATTAACATGTTAATATGTCAATATATCAATCTGTCGATAGGTATGTAAATATGACAGGAGAGATGTAATTCTATCCAAGTAAGTATATTTCATCTCGTCCCAAGATATTACTTATTATAACACTAGAGTCGGGGTCTAGATTCATAAGCAATTCCCCCATATATCTATCTAATCTAATCTAATCATCATCCTCTATCCACCTTCTCTCCATCCGAATCTATCATGATAAAAAAGAAAGACAACATCGAATTCTTCCACACATTGCGATATTTATCAAAAGCACAATCTTGGCATCATGATGTCATCAGCTTCAATGTGTGAGCGATTTGAAGCTGCGTATCCAGTCGATCTCTTGATGATAGAAGAGTTGGTATGATACATCATCTCAAGTACTTCCTCAACCACATAGAGAGAAATCTACCTACCTAGCTAGTCTGCCCCCACGGCAGTGGCTCCCAGAGGGCCAGCGGAGCGTCATTCAATTGATTCTTCACTTCAGATTACAGATTCTGGATCATTCCAACTTCACTCACGACACGCTGATTGGTCATCGTCAGAGTCGTCAGGAAGCTCGAACAAGCTGATCTGATATACGTACCTTGATCGATACATAATGCAAGTAAGACAATGCAAGTAAGACCAAAGATACTGGGAGAAGTTCAAACAATACACGCTGGAGCCAATGATCTAGGATTATCGTCTCTGGAATAAATGGCTTTGTTCATTCCAAGGAAGTTTCATAGGAAGTAACCTTACATCAGCTAATTTATAGGACACAAACGGATTTCTACAAAAGTTTTACTCCTTCTCAATTGCTCCATTTACGTTCAATTGATAGTCACATCGAACCCATGATTTTCTAGCACAAGGTAACCAAGGAAATGCAACTTTATGAACATCCGCAAAAAGACTCGTGAATAATGAATATTTCAAAAGGAATGTGTATCATCTCACAAGAGTTCTCAAACATATTTCTCGTGAGCTCCCTTACAGTTGAAGTTCATCGGAACCAATGAAAAAATGCAGCATCTCCGGCGAGTTTTGAGTATCGACCAAGCATCTCATTCAACCAATACCTGCGATTTCCATGAGGTCATTGGGGGAAAGAAAACAAACAAACAAACAAACAAACAAACAAACAAACAGGAACGATGATGTCTTGTATTAATCTGCAAATCATAACATGTGAAGCAATCCGCAAGAAGTAGAAAGATCACCAGAGAAGAATATTAATAAATTCTCATGAGGGAATTGCTTCAAAATGACACAACATAAAATGAAGACAAGGGAAAAGGACAAAGATGCCAAACACTTGATTAAGCTGATTTCAATCCAAATCGTGAAGTAGAGTCATAGACTGCAGAAAAGAAACTGTTTCTTTCATCAATAGACTTCATATCTCGGTAGTCATAGCCTTACCGTTTAAACAAATTATTTAAAGGGGACAACAAGCAGGACACTTTGAAGACGCCATTCAAGCACATCAAACACATCACACAACGAAGAAACCGATAAGAAGAAAACCAACTATATAAAAAAAGCCTAACCCAGAAAATCCTTATCCCAAAAGAGCGCAACTACACTTTCAATTTCCAATTTCCAATTCCAATTTCCAATTCCAATTCCCAATATCCAAAAGACACATAACCCTAAAACTCCCAACGCACTCACTCATGTTTCACATACATACTCGCGTACCTAGGTATTCGATGCGAGATTATACATAGAAACAACAACGAGATCTTGAATCGCAATAAATCCCGAGGTCTGTAGTATTAAATCTCTAAGAAGAGGGAATTAGCAGTTAGTAACTTACTAAAAATAGTAGTGAGGTAATCAGGTAGTGAGAGAAATTAGGTAGTGAGAGTGAGTACCTAGGTGGGTGGGTAGGTAGGTAATTGATTATAAATGTCTTGATCTTTTATATTTCGACTTGATATTTTTGTTTGATATAAGATAAAAAAAAGGGATTTGATATGTAAGATACCTACTATGCGGATATATATATATATATCTTTAATTAGATATAGAAAATTTCTATGAAAATAGTTATTTCTTAAAGCAATTCAGAGGTTGGAGAGATAATATGTGTTACTTAGATATCTGCTCGTCTGATTCTGATTTCGAACTTGGAAGATTGTTTTTTTCTAGATGAGTAGGATAGGATGGGATAGGATTATTAGATATTGGGAATATGTTTTTATTTCTTTATCTAGATAGGTATCTAAATTACTATACTATCTTTATAATCTAATAAGCAAATCTATATTTTATATTTTGTATTTTATATTTTAACCCCACTTAGCTTAGCAATACCTCTTCTCAAAGTTGTCTATATCTAGGTATATATTTAGGTATGTAGGCATTTATATACATATTCCAACTTCCAATTTGTTAACCTATTCAAACTTTCCTATACATTTAAGCTCCCCTATCCTTTCAAGCTTTCCTACCTATACAGCCTACCCAGCTAAATCCAATTCAATCTAATCCAATCCAATCACTATCACCACATCGCCAACCCATCACATCACATCCATATCACATCCATATCACATCCATATCACATCCATATATCTCCTATACCAAACTTCACATCTACATTCCGCTCCTCATCTCATTTTATCGTGACTACCAAATCTCCCGAGTCCCTATTTCCTCGCTGTCTCATCTCAAGCTCGATTCTCATCCGTCTCTCCTCTCCACACAATTCAGAAACATCTCTCACTCCCGAGGTCACTCAAAGTCACAACTTCTCACAAGATTCATACCTAGTAGACATCACCACAAGCCACAAGCCCCAAACCAAAACCACAATCACTCACAATCACTTACCAAAATAAAAATAATCAAACCAATCAAATGGACAAAAAAACATCTCTCTCCATTTATTCATTATCTATCTCCTACTCCATCCCATTTCATTCCATTCCACCCCATCCATCCATCCATCCATCCATCCACCATCATCACATCATAACAAAAAAAGCGGATAATCTTGTCCTTAATCTCAATCCCCATCAAAATCTCAATCCCAAATTCCCCATCCTTCCCTCCCTCCCTCCCTCCAAAAATCCAAATTTTTCCTATTCCATCCCATCCCATCCCATCCATTCCATCCCATCAATCCCATAATATCCAAACACCACCAACTTCCTCCCACAACGACGTGGGAGTACGACCATAAACGACCAAAGTACAAATAAACGTACCAAGTATTCATTCGAGCCGTGAAGAAATGAAATAGTGAGAAGGGGGGGAAAAAAAAATCAACAAAAAATCAACAAAAAATCAACAAAAAATCAACAAAAAATCAACAAAAAATCTCCATAGATAACAAAAGGGGGTATGTGTGTTATAGTAACCAAGAACCAGAACCAGAACCAGAAACAATTCCGCCGTGCTCAAAAATGCGCTAACCTCGCGCTGAAAATATGGTACAGTAAAATAAAGGAAATGTCCATCTCCGGAAGAAATGCTCATTAAATGTGAAAAAATAGTCGTTAAAGAAACGAGCATGAGGTATCATCTAAACGAAAAGCGAGAGAGAGGGAGAGAGAGAAAGTAGAAGAGCGCAAATAAATCCCAACGCAAAGCAAAACGCAGAATCAACTCTCTTCCATAATCCCCACCTCGCCCCCTCCTTCCTCTCTCCATTCCCGACTGCGATCCGTCATTCTCTTGATCCCGCTCACGCGACCCGCCCAGAGACTTTCCACCGTGGTGCGGAATGTATATCCACGCTGACTACTAATCACTCCAATAGCTTGCAGTACGGCTTTTCGGCTATCCCGACCAAATACAGCAGGATGATTGATCCATTCGAGACTCGCCTCCAACTCCGCATCAAGAGCCGCAACAGTGTTGGGATCGATACCCGGGGCCGTTACAACAGCCGAAAGCGCATCATTTGATCGGTGTCGAGGAATCGGACCCAGAGTGTGATTTGAGGTCATTGTCGTAGCAGATGTTGGGGAAGGGGTGCGACGTCTATCGGGAGTACGATTCGTAGGTGATGAAGAACCCGTGCGAGATGAGAGATTGTGATTGGGGGATTTCGAAGGTGGAGGTGGAATGGGTGGGAGACCACCTTTTCCTAATCCTTTCAGGATCGATCGTGTCTCGCTCAACAGATGTTGTGCGCGGTCGTGCTGGCCGCGAGAAACCAATGTGAGAGCGCGTGTAAGCATGTCAGAGGTGAGAAGTTCCATACGTCGTTGAACAACGCTTGGATGGGGCGGAATGGGTGGTGCACTATTCCAAGTCGTGTGTTTCTTCTGATTTGTTGGGGCAGGAAGCATAGTGATTGCTAAGAGTGAAGGACGGGGTAAATGAGCAAGTGTTCCATCTCTGAGGATATCTCCCCAAGTGAGGTCAGCTTGGATCAGAGGAACTTCCT